AAGCGATACGAGTCGTCAAGGACCCGAACGAATGGTTCCTCTCTATCACATCCCCGCTATCCCATCGCACGTTGCCGCGAGCAAAATGAGACTTACCAGAGGTGGTACGTAATGGGGGGGTGGATGCGTAAATCTGACGGAAATACGAGGCGCTGCCTTACCAAGAATACAGTGGAACGACAGAGAATCTGAAGTACGAATATAAGGTTGGCAAGTGCTGTGACGAGGAGGCGCCGCCTTCTAGGCCTGTCTCAGGCCCATCATACCAATCGCGTCGGTGGCGGATCGGCCTACAGGGTTTTAGTCGGACGGAGATGCGCTTGGTCCCGGGCTGGCCCTAATAGAGAGAACAGTCTAGAGGAGATGAGGGACTGCGGACTGTCCAAGCGCTCATTGCAGCGCCGCTGTGAACCGACTCCGGGGACGACGATCGGAGGGGTTGTCATAGCGAGTTGGCGATCGTGATCGACTAGGGTCAGTGCCATCCGTATACTTGCTATGATAAAGAGTAGAGGGTCGGCTTGCAACCGTCTCGTCCAAGTACTTGCTTTCATATCGATTGGGTGATCTAACATTTGATCTTGATCGATCTTGATGCAAATGTCGGCTGTTCCTACTTGGATTGCCTCGTATACCTATTCGACTGCTACTCGACTTGCTGCTAGTGGCACTGCGGTTGCGATGCAGACGGCCACCACCACTGTCCCTTTCGTCGCTCACTGTGAGTTGTTGTCTCGTAGCAACACTTGCCGTGTTGTCATCGGTGGTCGTTCTCGACTCTGAGGTCATTCCAACAGAATACGACTCGACCGCGGAGATCTCTGCGATGGTCAGCCCATCACCAGCATGGAGTGCATTTCCCATCTTGACGGCCGATGGTAACCTTCATAAAAGGTACAGACCCTTACAAACGTCGTTTCAGCCGAGTCCCTTTCCTGCAGCGTGCTGAAGCAATGCTTTGAACGAAAAGACCAACCGTTGTTTTCGTCCTCACTTGCACTGCGCTTCTAAAAAACCGCCGGATTGCAACTAACGCACCCCCACTGCCACTCCATCACGTGGCTAAAGGTTTGGCGATTGTTGGAAACGATTTGTCTAACTACTCACAACGGGATGGTCTTGCAAGCGAACCATCGCGTTATGGTACTATAAGCCTCGGGCCAGTAGTCTTTTGCTGGAACAATAGAATGCAGAACAGGCGATCCAATGTACCATGGCTGTCTTCACCTGAAACAAGGTGACTCCCAACGATACCGGGAGTATGCGTATTCAGAATGGTGGACTGTGACTGAGAGGGCGCAGTCACTGGAAATAACTCGACTGAGTCACTCCGGGATGATCAATCGACTCACTCGACTGGTTACCCTCCACTTTCACACCTCCCTCTGTTTCCACGGAGGCCTGCTCCAACTCGACTCCAGCCTGGAGCGTTCCTCAACGTCGTGTAATGGAACGTTATTAAATCTGAAAACGACCGTATTCTAAGGGAGGGGCGACTTTAGCGGACGAGATCCCTTTACGGGTCGCGGAGTGTCAGCGTTTCAAAACCGTCCCTACTAAAAATAGGGACGGTTTCGAAAACCGACCCTAAAAATAGTGACGGTTTCTGAAAAACTTCCCTAATTTAGGGTCGGGATTTGAAACCGTCCCTAAATATAAACGGGACTGAATGGTAAAAACATTGAAAACGCACCAAAATTAGGGTCGGGTTTAAAACCCGACGGCCTTACGAGGGTGACTGCTGGAATCAGACGGATTCAGGTACTGGTTGTCATAGCGAGTTGGCGATCGTGATCGACTAGGGTCAGTGCCATCCGTATACTTGCTATGATAAAGAGTAGAGGGTCGGCTTGCAACCGTCTCGTCCAAGTACTTGCTTTCATATCGATTGGGTGATCTAACATTTGATCTTGATCGATCTTGATGCAAATGTCGGCTGTTCCTACTTGGATTGCCTCGTATACCTATTCGACTGCTACTCGACTTGCTGCTAGTGGCACTGCGGTTGCGATGCAGACGGCCACCACCACTGTCCCTTTCGTCGCTCACTGTGAGTTGTTGTCTCGTAGCAACACTTGCCGTGTTGTCATCGGTGGTCGTTCTCGACTCTGAGGTCATTCCAACAGAATACGACTCGACCGCGGAGATCTCTGCGATGGTCAGCCCATCACCAGCATGGAGTGCATTTCCCATCTTGACGGCCGATGGTAACCTTCATAAAAGGTACAGACCCTTACAAACGTCGTTTCAGCCGAGTCCCTTTCCTGCAGCGTGTTGAAGCAATGCTTTGAACGAAAAGACCAACCGTTGTTTTCGTCCTCACTTGCACTGCGCTTCTAAAAAACCGCCGGATTGCAACTAACGCACCCCCACTGCCACTCCATCACGTGGCTAAAGGTTTGGCGATTGTTGGAAACGATTATGTCTAACTAACTCACACGGGATGGTCTTGCAGCGAGACCATGCGTTTGGTACTTAGCTGGGAGTATTACTTGGCTGGCAACATAGAATCGCAGAACAGGCGACCATGGTACCATGGCATGTCTTCTGAAAGGTGACTCAACCGTACCGTATGGTATTCAACTGTGACTGGGGCGAGTCACTGGACTCGACTGAGTCACTCCGGGATGATCAATCGACTCACTCGACTGGTTACCCTCCACTTTCACACCTCCCTCTGTTTCCACGGAGGCCTGCTCCAACTCGACTCCAGCCTGGAGCGTTCCTCAATCGTGTATGAAGTTAAATCTGAAACGACCCTATTTAGGGACGGATTTAGGGACGGATTCCCTTTAGGGTCGGGTTGTCAGGTTTCAAAACCGTCCCTACTAAAAATAGGGACGGTTTCTGAAAAACCGTCCCTAATTTAGGGTCGGATTTCGATTTAGGGTCGGGTTTGAAAACCGTCCCTAAACAGAAATGGTACTGAATGGTAAATACATTGAAATCCAACTCTAAATTAGGGTGGGGTTTCAAAACCGGCCCAAAAAATAGGGACGGTTTCTGAAAAACCGTCCCTAATTTAGGGTCGGATTTTGATTTTGGGTCGGGTTTCGAACCCGACCCTATTCTCCAATGGAATTAGGGGCGGGCTTCAAAGATTTTGGGTCGGATTTAAGGTCGGTTTCTCCATCACCCACGATTGAGGGACGCTCCAGAGGACAGACAAGGCTTGCTACGAGCAGCTTCGATTTTATTGATTCAAACGCGTGCCGGCATTTCTGCTACAGTTCTACCAGAGCTGGTGTAGAAGTGTACTGAAAAGAGTGGCGCGCGTTTGAATCAATAAAATCGAAGCTGCCTGTAGTGCCATCAACCTGCATTTTTCTGAATCTATAAAGCCAAGCAGCAAACTGCATCCACAGCACACAACAAGCAAGGGTCGGCGAGAACCTGCATTGTTCTAGAGGCCAAGGTTGCAAGGTTTCAATATTGTCCATAAAAAGCAAGATCTATGCAAAAATTCTACTCTTGAAATGGGCCCATTTTGATGGCCGTAAGAAATCCCATGTGGCAGTTAACGGCCAAGAGAGTGTTTGGTTTTCGCCGTGCATGATCCGCCATCAAGGCACAGCAGCACCTTTTGAAATTCAGGCGAGGATATTCGTGGACAACCGTCATTTTTGTCACGTTGGAGATTTCCTCACAGTAGAGCCCTGCCACATCAATTCCAGCACCCTGATGGATCAGCTTTAGTTCAGGTGCGTACTGTGGTTGACTTAGTATATGTGGAGATGTGTGGAGAGCAAGCATCTCATGAACGACATTTGCCTTGTGTTCACCCATGCCTTGTTGGATACAAAAGTCCTGTGCCGCTTGAGCACCCAACAACTCAAAGTCAAGACCATCTCGATCATAAGGTTCTGTCCATGCCAAATCATGTAGGAGTGCTGCCACAAAGAGGACTTCCTTATCAAAGGCCCAACTGTGCTGCCACAGCAGCTGCAAAGCGGTAGGTTCGAAGACAGTGATTGACAATCCATTGTCTATGCTGACCAGCTGTCTTTTGGCACAACTCCAATGCAGCTTGGGAGGCTTGAGTGGTAGGGACAGCCCAGAGTGGATCATGGATGCTACTAATAGCCCTGGGAATACGGCGAAGTCCGATTGTATGAGCAATGCTAGTAGCAAGTTGCTCCAATTTGATTCCACCAAAAACTTGAATAAAAACGATCTTTTCAGGAGCAGGGAGACTGGTAGTGAGAGTCAACTGTTGATCCTTGGGTGGTGATGAACAAGAATAGGGCAAAAGTGCCTCCGTCGTCAGGGTGTTGTCTTCGCCACAGTGTTCCTCCTCGTTGAACAAGGGGCGAGAGCAACTCTTGGCAAAGATAAACAGTGCCACCGTTGCAGCAGCCACATAAATCGGTGATTCTGGGAACAACACAGCAGCTGCCGCCGACGGAACCACCAGCGCAATGGATGCTCTGATCAGACTCATTCTCGATATGTGATCTTTGATCTTCGCTGGATCTTTGAGTGTTCCGGGAGGAAACTGGATATCTGACGTCACAAAAGGGTCTCATCTTTCGCTTTGGCAAACCCACACTCACAACGAGAAACGTGCGCTCCCTCCAACGACAACAACCAGCCAGCATCCTTCCGCTTCGGTACATTCATTACAAATCCAACTTGTTGGACAGATAGAAGCGTGTTTAGAGGAGAGTGCAGCATGATAGCAGCTCAACAAGTACACGAGCCCCCGAAAGACAACATGGCGGACTCACCCCAAGTCGAGGAAAGCGAGAAAGCAGAGGGTAGCGTACCCCGCGAATCTGCAAGCTCTCCGGTTGCTCCTGATCCATTCCCACGGAAAACTTGGGCAATGCCAAAAGCGCCACCAAAGGTGGAGGGCACAGATCCTGCCAAGAAGAAATCTCTCTTGGAGATCATGGAAGAAGAACGCAACAAAGAGCAAGAGACAAAGGTGACCGAGCAAAGGAAATTGGTACAACGGCTCGAACAGGAGGAAGAAGCAGCTTTGCTAAAGGCGATGCAAGCTTCCATGGCGACTGGCGAAAGCGGTCAGGAAGATGACATGGATGAAGACCTCAAAATGGCATTGATGATTTCCATGCAAGATCAGGCACAAAGTCACGGCAAGATGCCACCGTCGACCCCCTCGGCGGCAGTAGCATATTTTCCAGCCACGGCACAAGTGCCTCCGGCCGCCGCCGCCGCTGCTGCAGTTTCCAACGACGGTGGGTTGACAGAGGAGGAAATGAAGGAAATTGAACGGGCTCTCCAGGACGCCGATGCTGCTGAAAATTCCACGGTAGACGCCGCATCATTAAAGCTGGCTCTAGATGATCTCTC